CCGATACAACTTAAATTATCCTGATATACGTAAATCATACAGCAGTAACAAACACGCACATCGTGATTGTTTATCAAGCATCGTAACTGGAAGCCCACCGTTTCCAAAAAATTGTGACACTATTTTTAGCCTAATACATGAATTATGTAAAACTTGGTTGAAAGAACTATTTGTTCTTACCGACGATAACCAAAAAATTTCTTGTAATATGTACGGTGTCCAACAATCAACAATACAAGAAACACACCATAGTAGTAGAAAAAATACATCAATTTACTATCAGATTTTTCTAATTTGGTTACAGAAATTTATCAATGGCGTGTTATACAACAATCAAGTTACTAAGTTAGCCACTCACAAGTGGGCTACAAACTACGGCATTAACAGTCAATACCAACGTTATATTAATTAAGATATGTTTGTATAGTAGTAGTTTAGACGATGACCAGTACATTTATCGTGTGGCGCCATCTGTTGACCATATTTCACTAGAGTGCTTCCAAAAGAAAAGTTCGTTTATACTTATATCGCGACATAATTGATATGCTCATAAAAATAAAATTTTTCCCATACAGAAATTTTGTTAAATAAATCATGTAACGGGTTGCTTCTACAATCATTTCTAGTTCATACAGAGGGTTTATAAATTCAAAGGTTAACAATTGAAATTATCAGTATACTAATCTTAAAACTATTTAATTTAAACTCGTATAAAATACTAAGACATTATCTGAAAAACATAACAAAGAAAAATAAAGCCAGACCAAGTTTTTGCTAATAACTGGCGATTTTCGGAAATAAAACACACATAGTTGACAAGAGAAAATCAGTTGGAAGTAATTAGTTTATGTAAGTTTTCTACCATACATAAAAAGCTGAAGACTCGTGGAATTTCTATAAACTTCTGCAGAGTTGAAAATACAAATTCATTTCCATTTCTCACTTTCAACACACATACTCACATATATGACGTGAACGTACAATGATTAAAAAACTTAAACTAGAAATTCTAAAACTTTGTTCACACCATATTAAAAACACCAATCTTGTCCTGTGCATCAAGACCTTACTAGTTCAAAGACGCAGAACCTAGATTGTGCTGATTTTAGCACTTGTAATGTTTGACAAAACCCACGAAAAGAGAATGTGGCTAAGCCTATATAAATGATCGTGAAAATAGTAGCTGAACCAAAGTTTCCTCAGAACACAAACACAAGTAGTGTCAAATCGCACCTTCATTAATTCATCCGACGTCCTTTACTGGCATCTTTCCACGCTCCAAAATTTGGGTGTACTTCAAATTAAACCTAAGATGTCCCGTAGGAATCCAAAGTTACAGTTTAATATAGTAGGCCCCAACAGTCTGTACCTGGAGTCTATTAGCTATCAGTGGTATTGAATCATGCGAGTTGGCCTACAAGGACCGGTAAACAATCACAGCTTGCTCGCCATCAGAAGAACGGTAAACAATCATAGCTTGCTCGCCATCAGAACTGCTGCATATTTTTGAAACTGAAATTTCATTGTATTTTACTCTTATCACGCACAGATCTTGATAACACTAGACGCTCACCTTGTATTATGGTAATAATAATAATAATAACGATAAAGCTAATTCTGCTTCAAATTTAGTACTTCAATACGATCAGAGGTTTCTGAATCTAGCAATTCCTGGACTACCACGGAGAGCTGAAATACTGAACACAGTTGTGTATCAGGAATTCTGCACAGCAATTCTGACCTATTAATCCCATCGTCTGAACTTATCCAATCTGTATAACCTATATAATCTACTTACAGGCAGACAATTCTAGAACGTAATCATTTCTACACTACAATATAAGAACAAAATTCAATCAGAAGCAAAAATATATTACACCATTAACAACTGTAAGTCGTCAAAAGTAAAAATAAACATCTTACACTGCTGAAAATTATCAGTTATTTTCACCTGCTCATGTATACTTATAAAGATGGCTATAAAACCTAAAAGTTATTGTTCTCACGACACCCATCAATATAAGTCATTTTTACGATCCATAAAAAATACGTTAAACACCAAATAATCTACATACAAATTTCAAGCAAGCAGACAGGATTAAAATAGTTTTTTAATGATAGATGACAATGTCAAATAAAACAAAAGCATTAATTTGGTTCAATCTTGTTTTATAACAATGTACTGAACACTACCTGACTATTATAAATATAAACATTCATATAATTGTAGTAATTATTTTTTACTAAACTGAAAAAGAATCTATATTAGATTTAAAGGTTTAGTATATGCAAAAAAAAAATCTGTCAAAATGTTTGTGTATATTTACATTATGATCATGCACCAAATTTTATAATACAGTGCAAAAGTTAAAATGTCAAATTAAAATAAAAATAATCTAAACAAGTTCTCCAATGAGTTAACATAAAAATTGTTCAACACTAAAAACTTCTCTCTTCATTTGCAAATGTCACATGTAACAATAAAAAGAGAAAGCTTATTTATGATCTGTGAATGTTCAAATACAGAACCACTAATTTATCTGTACTTAAAAAATTAACATTCTAAAACAACAAAAAATGTGATAAAAACTAATGCTCATCCCCAATAAATCCCTCCTATGATTAAAATACAGATAGAAATAGTTGATGGAGCACAACCATAAGGTGAGTCTATGTACAAGCTGCATATTCTACACTACAGTTAAAATTAGTATTTACACTATAACATTAGGATGCCCATGTGTAGAGAACAGTCCATCATTTCATCCACCTGTTGAATGTTTACTCAACCTATATTTATTGTATCAGGTTATATGAATATATTTCAATATTGTAGGATACCTATAAGAATGCAAACCAAAAATAACTTTCAAAATAAAGAATACGCAAATGTTAATAAGTGTACTTAAGTCATAAGAATTAATATGAGCATACAAGTTCGAAGTAAGTCACGACTGGCTATACTGAGCTTTAACACACAAGCCTAAATTACATTTTATACTTGGTATGTGCTTGAAAGATATTTAATACTACAATATGACCAGCATACAAGACTAATTTAAAAACAAGTACTGATAAGAACTAGTACAAAATCATAATGCAGTTACCTCCTACACAGTATAAAACACCAACACACCAGAAATATGTCAATATAAATGTCAACAGCTATAGTGCTCATTATACTAGGAATTAATATTTTACAATTACAATTTCTAAGTTTAAGAATTTCCAACTCTGGACATTAATTATCGACACTGGTTCTAAAATATACAAGAATCTGACAAAAGGATGTTTATGCCTCACTTTTGGTTGTATTGCTAATTTTAGATTATATCTTTCCAGGTGCTTAACTCCTCATTCCAGGTAAATTATGGAGTCATAATGATATAAGCAGACTTAAAATGAAGCATAAGCCATCATTAAATTGCCAAATTTCTTAAAACCTTTAAAAACTGTAATGTTCGTATAGTTAAAAACATGTTTTTATATTCATTAAAAAGAATCTCTCTAACAGTGTTAACACTGATTCCTATATTACCTGCTTACTGGGCTCTTAATATAGAAATTATACACTAGTTAAAATATAATACAAGGTATAATCTTATATCTTCACAAAACCTGTATCAATACAAATGCCGAAGTTATTCTAAAACTAGTTGGACTACTGTGAAAAATTTGGGATGTAAAAATCTTCATAAATTATGAATACTTTATATCTAAAAGTGAACCAAAAGCTAGGGAATGCTTGATGTGGCCACGCACTTCTAGAATCTAGAAAATACAAATTCCAAATAAATAAAATGACTGTGAACTTAAGATAATCTTGCAAATTGTTTTATTTACTCAATGTTTTGGCTTTACACTTTCATCAGGAACATACAGTTGCCATAACAAACTATATCACTCAAATTAAGATTGACAGAATTCGTTGCCACAACAAACTATATCACTCAAATTAAGATTGACAGAATTCGTTGCCACAACAAACTATATCACTCAAATTAAGATTGATAGAATTCACTGCCACAACAAACTATATCACTC